GCCCTGAGTCCCCTCAGGGAAAAGGGCGGCCTATAAATGGGCAATAAATACAAATACAAAAAAAAAAAATGTATACTTCTCCTGCCTTTGATATCATTCAGCATCTCCATACATGTATTTGTCGACTTACGACTCTTTAAAGTTTTAACCTTGAGGCTACTGGATTTGAAGTTTGAAAAATTGTGTTACCCCCATGATCACAGGATCAAATTTTTGGCCATTCAGCAACATGTCCACATTTATGTTCATTTGTAGCATTCCAGTCACATTAGTACATTTTTGCCAAAAAATCGGCACTTACATCCAGGTTTCAGCAAAACTGTGTCCGTAGTGAATCAGTGGTTTGCTTAATGACCACCACAAAAAAGGTTGTAAAATTGAGTTGGTTACATGACCACCCTATTTTACAACTATCACAACTTATAATCAAGAGGGAAGCAAAGTATGGTAACTGCTTAGAAAAACAAATCTGGAGAGAATTGTCTGGCTTTCAGTTCTCAAGCATTTTCTGAAGATATAACTTACTCATTCAAGTGTTGGAATCTTTCCTGCCAGTTAGCAGCTCGTGCTACATTCCCAGTTTTATCAATTAATTTTATCCCGAAAAACTCCAGCATCATTTTGTAAGCTAACAGGAATCTTCGAATCGCTTCTTTCGTTTTTTTGAACTCCTGTAACAAGATTTTTATTTTTTTTACAAAAACGCACAAACACCAAGAGCATTAAATATACAAAATTATTCTAGTTTAAATGATTAAGTATTAGCATTACATTATGAATTAGATGCTTTACCTCAATTTCACAGGTTGTTAATTCTTTTGCATAGAAATTCAGTCCTTGCTCTCTGAGTGGAAACAACCTACATTCAAAACAGATGTACAAGTTTTTTCCTGAAACTGAAATGGCTTTAACCAGTTTACTACAAAAGAAATTAAAAAGAATAAAAGGCACCAACCATTGTATGTAAGTGTGATTGTGTTCCAACTTTTCATAATCTCCTTTCCATTTATTCAAGACCTCTTCAATATAAACCCCTATAAATATACCAAAGGAACATAACTTTCTAAATACCATTCAGAAAGGAAGTATAAATATAAGTATAAAAATCTTTAAAAAGCATTTTTAGCATTAGTATTGATGGCTAAAATGAATACATTAATATTTTTTCTATAGTTGAAGGATAAGGAAATATATGAGGTTAACTGTTGCCAAAGATCAAACAATAAGTCCTTTGTCCTTCTTTACTGGTTGAAGGCCTCCAAGGTCTCTTCCACCATCTATGATTATATGATTCTAAGTACATAGACTGTCAGTGGTGCAAAGCTAACTTCAGAATCATGGTGTCACGAAGACCTTCAGAAGGGCATGAAATTTCCTGAGACTTCTAGGAAACCTAAGCTGAATCACACTGGAAGGATTTTTGAGCTCTTTCCTCCATTAAGTAGGACAGCAAATCCTCACTGCAGCCACATACATTGATGTTCTAAGTCTTAAACTCAGGGTAATGCCTCAAGGACCTATTTTGGGGGAGAAAATCATGATGAGAATCCTGGCAAACCAGATGAAGGAGAAATAAACTCAATTTAATATGTCTTACTTCTATGTCAATATGCATAAACTAGAGCTATAAAGTTAAATGCAAAGTGGAACTACTGTGGGCCATCTGATTTATATAGATCTGAAACTGAACCAGGGACGTGCAGTCAGGGGAGGCAGGGCCTCACCACTGTCATCATGAAAAGAAAAGAAAAATGTAAAAGAAAAAAGGCTGAGCTAGTTGCTGCCAGAGTCAGTGGATGACTCTGCTTAGT